TTAAATTATTTCTAGTAATCGAATTTTTATATCAAACTCAATAGGCTGATGAACTTGAAAAAATTTTATGTAAACGTTTCATGCGTTTTATGATGCAACGTGCTGATGATTTTCATATACTTCGTCGAAAACCAATACCTGTATGTTAAATCTTCATTTACTTTTATATAAAAGATAATAATTTTTTTGTTGATTTAGGGTTATGATATTAGTTTTTTAATAACAAATTTTCATGCTGAAACAATGTATAAACATCGTTTGGTTGATTTTATAATTTATTTTCTTGAAGAAATTGATAAAGAAATTAGTGAAATGAAATTAGCTGTTAGTTCACGTGCACGAATGTGTGCTGAAGAATTTTTAAAAAAATTTAACTGATACTTTCAATATCATACTTATGAATAAACTAATTATCATTATGAAAGTGTATATCGATCATTAGGAAAAAAAAACTTATCTTTTTATTTTCTTTTCTTTGGATATATATAATGATTATATACTTCTTGATTTCATTTTCTCTATCATCAACATTCTTTTTCATTTATGTTTTCCTGATTTTGATAAGTAAAACATTGTTTACATTTGTGTTTGAAGATTTTTTTTTTTTTTGGTTGAGAAAAGATATTAATTGATAAAAAATATTTGATTCGATTCATCTCGACATTTTTGTTGATTTCTTTTTCTATAGTATAGAAAGAGGTAAATGCAGGTACAGTGTATGAAAAATATTGTGATGCTAATAGAATTTTGAAGAATTAGATAGAAATCGAGGTGCTACCGAGGTCCACTGTTCCGATCGCCGGAACCGTTTGTTTCCTTTGTTTTCCAGAAGCGGATTCTATAGATTCCGTTGGTTTTCGGTCAGCTCCGTTGACTTCCGACGATTTCTTGACTACAGGATTCCGGTCCAGTTTCCGCCGGAAAAAATCCGTTAAGTTCCGCAAAATTTCGACCAGGAATTCGTTGAAAATCGACGGGACCGATGGAAACTGATCGGAACTGGTCCGCCGAAATCTGGACCGAAATCCTATAGTAAAGAAATCGTCGGAATTCAACGGAATCGATCGGTTCCGACGTACCGAGCTTGACCTGGGCCATTACATTTTTTAGATCAACATAAGGTTATTTTGTTGAAAATAATGAATTTTTACCGAAAAAAAAATCAAACTTGAGATTCTGAATAATTCATCTGTAGATTTGAATTCTTAGACATCGGAAACTTTTAGTCAAGTTTTAAAAATACTTCTTAAATTTTATCGGAATAATATAACACTCACTTCTATGTATCATCTTGTTCTCCATCTCTACTAGCCTTACTTCTAAGTTTCAGTAGTACAAGGTGTTGATGATATTAAATCTGTACATTCTGAAACAATATTCGATTTATGAATATATTTTCGCATTTAATTGATGTTGTGTCTAGTTGCTTCATTCATCATGACATCAGCATTTTTTCTGCATTTGCACTTCAAGCCTACGCAATTGGTACATTTGTGAACCTTATCCCCTTCTCTCATAACGTCATTCGATAGGAAAAGAAGAACATAAATGACGTCATGAATAAACAACTTTTTCTTATATAATTGATGGATGCTTGTTCTTCCGGTACCTTTCATATAACTTTTTTTTTGTTCTTTAATACAATGAAAAATACAAAATTATTATTTAATATTCATTATTTATCTTCGCCAACAATTAAATATTTTTATCAATTGAATTCTATTCAATCTAAATGTCTTCTTCATACAAGTATACCATTAATGAATAAAGATATGGCAAAGATAGATTCAATTGAAGAACATCCTCATATGCGAGCTGTAACTAAAGCAATAATTCAACATAAACGTATGTATAAAGAAAGATAATAATGAATTATAAGCAGAGACATTTATTTACAATAATAAAAGTCTTGTTAAACTTCGTTTTTTTTTTGTTTACACTTTTTTTTATAGAACCAGAAGATTATATGATGCATCATCAAATTTATTCAGAAAAAGACCTTAATAATATTAAAATAACACATAAAAAATTTGAATCATGGCATGATCGTGTAGCCTATGGAGCTGTTCGAACTTTGCGTTTTTTTTTCGATACATTTACTGGTTATATGCATCCATCAAAATCTGATTTCAAACAAGAAACTCAACATTCATATAAAACTATGACTGAACAACAATGGTTAAGACGTTTTATATTTCTCGAATCAATTGCTGGTGTTCCAGGAATGGTTAGTGGAATGAGTCGTCATATGAAATCACTTCGTAAACTTCTAAGCTTTGAGTGATACTGAATAATCGTTTTATTATTTGAAGGTACAATGCGTCGTGATTATGGATGGATTCATACACTTTTATCTGAAGCAGAAAATGAACGTATGCATTTACTTACATTTTTAGAATTACGACAACCAGATTGGATCTTTCGTAGTTTAGTTTTATTGGGTCAAGGTGTATTTTTTAAGTAAGAATTTTTTTTATTTTTACAAATAATATCAATAAATCAAATATTTATTGTTTCTTCTTTTTTTTTGTGTGTGTGTTTAAGTGCTTTCTTTCTTACATATCTTCTTTCACCAAGAATATGTCATCGTTTTGTTGGTTTTCTTGAAGAAGAAGCTGTTATTACTTATACACGATGTATTGAAGATCTTGATACTGGTAAACTTCCAGCATGGTTAATTTTATCAGCACCAAAAATTGCTAAAAATTATTGGAAATTATCTGAAAATGCTACAATGAAAGATGTTCTATTAGCTATACGTGCTGATGAAGCTACACATCGCGAGTATGTTGAAAGATTTTTTTGCTTTTTTTTAATCGATTTGATAATAGTTTTATTTTCTAGAGTCAATCATAAATTAGCTGATGTTGGACCTGATGCACCAAATCCATTTGTTATTCAAACTCATCAAGTAGAAGAACATTGATGTAATTGGCAAAAAATAAACATTCTTTTTTTTGATCTTATTTTATTTTATTGATGTAATAAATTCGTTTTTTTTTGCTTTTAATAACGGTCTATCGAAAAGTTTTTGAACAAAATGTTTGCCCATTTTTGACTCTCTTAAAAGTATTCTCGACGAGTGAAAAACTAGGGATTAGGACGAGAATTTTGTGCTGTTTCAGAATATGGGCTCAGAAATTGAATACCTATTTTTGTCCTAGACTAGTAAGGGAATCTTAAAACGTCCTGAAAAATTGATGTGAGTGGCGAACAAACAGGCATTTGCGACCTCCGTAAGTCCGCGCTAAAAATGGTTCACTTTGATAATTTTGTAGAGTGAACAATCCTTTACAAAATATTATGTCGAACTAAAATGTAGGTTTTTACATAAGTGAAACTATAACCATTTTCGTAAGAGCTACATCTGTCTAAATCGAATTTTGATCAAAAAATCGATTTTTCAAAAATACAACTGATAGAAAAACAACAATTTAGATATTTTATCAGAACAAAAAATTAAACTGAATTACTACATTTTGTAGAGCAAATTTTGCTCTACAAGTTGATATGTGAAGAAATTTTTCAGCATTTAGTTTTGAATACCAAGAATGGAAACACGAAATTTTCTGTCTAAACTATGTTTTTAAGCCTTTCAAAGATTTCTCCGCTACTCTCGAGCGAAAACAGATACACAATTTCTGAGCCCATATTCCGAAAGAGCACAAAATTCTGGTTCTAATCCTTAGTTTTTCACTCGTCTAGAATACTTTTAAGAGAGTCAAAAATGGACAAACATTTTGTCCAAAAACTTCTCTATAGACCGTGTATATCCAGTAAGAAAAAGGAAGGCATTTCTTTTTTGTTAGATAGGAAGATGAACGATCGAGATGACATATTTCTTTTTTTGTGATTGTCACATTCAATTTTACTGTGCACCTCAATTGGTTTTCTTCTCTTGATATTTTTGTGTTTTTATTGCTATACTTCTTTTATTTATTAAC